GCCGCGACCCACGGGCTGGGCGTCCCCTCCCCGGCGTGCCTGACCCCCGAAATCCCCCTCCTTTTGGGGGCACCGCTGGAGGTCTGCCCCCCCCGGGGCCTGTGAAGGACTTGCGGGATGCCGCAAAGTTCTGTTGACTTCCTTCACGAGCACCTGAGCAGGTGTGTCTGGACTCACTGCGCGGATGTGAAAGCGAGGCTGGAAAAGTAGAGGGTCGGGCCCGGGGGTCCCACCGCGTACAGCCGTGTTGCAGCCACGTTCCTGGCTCCGCTGCGAGCTGAGCGAGGGCTTAGTGCCACCCTTTTCCCCGGCCCTGGTGTTTGTAGCCGGGGCGCGCTCCCTGTCGGAGTGCCTGGGTTCCCGACGGCCCATCTGCTGGGGGTTGATTTTTTTTTTTTCCTTAAAATTGCTGGCATCAGAATCCCCCAGTTTGTTCCTTTGTTTTTGGAGCTGGTATTTGCGAACCGTTTGGTTAAAGGCCCGAGAAAATGAATGGAAACGCCGTGGAAATGGGCACCTTTATGAGTGAAAAACCTCTGACAACTAAATTTTATCACTGTCCAGGGACTCAGCCCTCCCTGATCTTGCCTCTGCGCAATGGGAAACGGAGATGGGTGGGTCCGCTTGGGGAGGGAGGTATTGGATGGTCAGTAAACACAGCATGCCTGCCACCGCCAGACATCTTGAAATGGTGAAGAGGGAGCTTGAGGGCTGTTCTGGCTTCTTTTGCATTCTCTGCCCTTCGGGTTCCTGCTTAAAAATGTCACCTCTTTCAGAGTCCTTCCCTGTTGAAAGGATTCTGCTCATTTTTCTTTCGATGCATCTCAGCAGGATTGTCACACAGAGGTGGGGCTGGAACCTGGTTATCCCAGTGCCCTTTCCCCAGTGCTCCTTGATTTCAGATTCCAAACCAGGTGTGTGTTCCTGCCACACCATGCCACCGTTGCTTGGACAGCTGGGTTCTGGATCTAGGAGCCCACTTTAACAGTGATCTTTCGGACATTTGGTCCTGGTAAATTTGACCAACTGTTCTAGCATGGCAGTGTCTTTCTAAATGCCTTGCTTCTCCTAGGCTTGTGAGGACTGGGTGAGTAGCTACAGGTAAAGGGCTTTGAAGAGCCCAGCACTTCGTGTTTAGTGAACTGGAGCTGTTATGAGCTACCTGGTTTCTCAGCTTTTCCTCCCAGGTTTGACCATTTGAGAATTCTGTCAACCTAACTTCATCTACTTCAGCCTCTCAAGGCCTTGAGATGCTCAAAATGTCACAGTTTCTTTGCTCCTGGGCCCTTTGCACATGCTGGCCCCTCTGCCTGGGAAGTTATTTCCTAAGCACTCACACTCCTGTAGCTGGTTCCTTTCCACCCTCAGGTGATAGTTTAATGTCACCTCCTCTATAGAGAACATCTGTGTCCATCCTGTGGACTCTGCCACTCTCTAGACCAGCAGCCTATTTGTCACTGCACTTGCCACAATTTTATACACTCACACAGTCTGTCTATGTTCCTGTTTGTTGCCTGTCTCTTCCTCTTGATTGTGACGTAGGTGACTCCCATTCACTATGCTTCCCCATTAACCAATACAGTAATTTACATGTAGTCGAGACTTAAATATCTGTTGAATGAATTACTCCAAGTCATTAATAAAAATATTGAATAGATGCCAGGTCGGAGCCTTGGTATCAGGATTGTTGCTGCTCTGCCCATCATATCCTGGTTTTCACGCCAAGACTAGCACTTCATGAAGGGAGGTAGGGCAGACAGGGAGGACAGAATAGGGGCTGTGGATCTTTTGATATTTTCTCAGAAAGAGGCCCCAGAATAATTTGGTTTGAATTCCTCCCTTCCCACCACTTTTCCCATTTTGCCCTTGCCCAACGTGGCATCTGCCATGCTGGACTTGACATGCATGGCAGACGTGGTCCTGCTTTCCTAGGACCCCAACGCAGACACTGAGTGGAATGACATCTTACGCAAAAAGGGCATCTTGCCCCCAAAGGAAAATCTGAAAGAATTGGAAAATGAAGCGGAAGAGGAGGAGCAGCGAGTCCTCCAGCAGTCAGTGGGTGAGCTTGCTCGTTTTCTTTGTGTCTATCTGGATGAGGAAACAACTTTCTAAGCCTCTGATTGCCACAGTAGAAGGACTCTGAGCAGGAGCCAGGGGCAGGAGTGCTGGCATAGATGCTGTCTGGGACCTTAGAGGAGTCGCAGGTTGTCTTGAGTCCTCACCTTCCTGGGCCATAGATTTCAGAGATGCCCTTCAGTCCCACAGGTCCTTGTCTGTGTCAGATGAGCACCGAAGAAGGGAGTATTTCTGAGTTTGACTTTCAGGTCTGTGATTTCCTTTGGGTAATGACATGGAAATTTTTCAAAGTTTTTAGTGTTTGTATTTTCCTGAGCTTATACTTTATTATCTTTGTGGTTTGACTGGGGATATTAAAATATCTTAAATTGGGGAGGCATAAGATGTTTGCCATATGTGGGATCTGAGAACGGTTTTTTCAAAGGTGGTCATAGTACCTGAATCGGAGTGCTTGTCAAAACAACCTCAAGCATTACTAATCAGAATCTCGAAGTGAAGCCTAGGATTCTGCGTTTTAAATAAATGCCTTAAAGGATTTCTGTTGCATGCCAAAGTGTGAGAATGATTGATCTCAAGGACTAGTACTTTTGTCCCCTGTTTACTTGTTAGAGCTAATTAGGGATGGATTTTTTGGAATGTATTTATCCAGAGAATGTTTACGGAATGATGACCATTGTCAGGTACAGTTCTGGGCATTGAGGATTTAGCTATGCACAAACCAGACAAGATTCTGTGCTCTTAAAGAACCTACATTCGAGTGGGGGAGACAGACAATAAGGAAAATAAGGTGAAGGGAAAGTAGCTAGAAAGTGTTGGAGAAGTAGGTGGAATTCTAGGAACATCAGAGAGGGAGAGCGTCCCTGAGAAGATGACGTCTGTGTAGACTGAAGGTGGAGAAGATGGCGTGTGAGTAAAGATCCGAGGAGTGGAAGAAGACATTAGAATAGACCTGGAGGAGTTGTCGGGGGTAAAGAGGCGTTTGAAAGGAGACCTGAAGGTGGTGAGGATGGTGTGTGAGTACACCTGGAGAGGGTGAGGGGAGTGGGTGGAAAGTGGGCCTGAGGAGGCCAGAATCGCTGGGGAGCGGAGTAGAAATCGCGTTCAGAGAGGCCGCTGGGCCAGACCATTGCGGACCGTGCAGCTTCTGAGTAAGGACAGTGGCTTTGATGCCTAGTGAAGGGTGAAGCTTTTGCAAGTTCAAACAAGGGAGTGCCTCTATTTTGATAGCAGCATCCTGTTGCTGCCTCCTGGAGCATGGGTGTGGGGCTTGAGGGAGAGACAAGGCAGGAAGCAGGGAGAGCAGTCTGGGCACGACTGTCATAATTGAGGGGAGAGAGACCATAGGCCGGGGTGGTGTGGCAGTGGTGGAAGTGGTGTGACGTGGTCAGATCTGGATACATTTGAAAGGTTGGCCGGTGGGATTTGCTGATGCATCGTGTGAGTGGAGCGAGGGAAGGGTGAGACCAGGGTGGCTGCCAGGCTTTGGGCACGAGCAGCCTGGAGGATGGAGTTGCACCCGCAGAGTTGAGGAAGCCTTGGAGAGGAGCAGAAGAGGGTCAGGAATTCTGTTGGCGACAGTTAGCTTTGAGATGCTTATGAGACAAGTAGAGATGTTAAATGGACAGATGGGTTGTTTTTCTTCGTGTCAGAGAAATCTGGGCTGCAAGCATACATTTGGGAGTTGTCAGCATATTGATAGTATTGGAAGCCATGAGATTAGATGTGGTCACCGAGGGAATGGTATAGGTAACGAAGAAAAGGAGTCAAAGGCTTGAGCCCTGGGGAATTTTAATCAGCAAAGGGTTCAGAGTGGGGGGGCCGTCATTGGGGGGGAGGAAAGAGGGCATCCTGGAAGCCAGATGAGGAGATGATGCTTGGGTCAGATGCTGCCTGTCAACCAAGAACAGAGGGTCATTGTTGACATTTGAGGGTGGTTTTGCGGAGCAATTTAAAAAAGCGTACAAAATCTTGATTTGATGTCCAGAAACAAGAGTGTTTATGGCAATAAGAATAAGCTACAGATTTTTGTAGCAGTTGCTTACCAAAAAAGATAGAGCTGCCTCCACTCCTAAAAAACAACTGAGAAGTGCGGGATAATCGCCTTTAACTCTAGGAAGGGTGTGCTTTGATGGACACCCAGTAGTTTCCTCTGCGTCTCCTTGGGAATGAGAACTGTCTACACCTACCCAGGAGCAGATGTGCCTGAAGATTGGACCAGGTGACTTCAGGCAAATATGACTCTCTTGTTTTGTAAACTTAGGAAACTTCTCCTTCTTACCCCTATTATTGTGTGGAGGTAAACCGGCATACCTGCAGACGTCAGCATAGGTCTATCTTTTTAAAACACTCTCAGTTTCTTACTTAATGTAATGCCTTAAGTAATTTTTATTTGGTGGCTGGGAGTCTTCTGGGGTTGTGTGCACATCTTTAGGAGAACAGTGAAGGGAAAAAAAGCAAAATCTGTATTTGTTCATCTTTTAACATTTTTTGCTTTTTTCCAACACAACTGAATTCAGTGAAAACCTATGAAGATATGAGTTTGGAAGAGCTGGAGGATCATGAAGACGAATTTAATGAGGAGGATGAACGTGCAATTGAAGTGTACAGGTTCGTGCCACCCAGAGTGATTATTTGGCTTTTTTCACAGTAACAAAATGTGTCTTTTAAAAAATTAATTTTTCAGATGAAATAGCGTTTGGAAAAGATTAGGGTTAAATAATTATATTGCAAATTTGGATGAACTGGCCTTGGATTTTTGCCACAAGACAAATAAATAAACCTGGACCTTTACAAGAACTGCCTTCTGAAAGATGTATGTGTGCACGTGTGTGTCTGCATGTGTATGTATGTATGTATATAAGATGTTTCTCTCTTCCTGCTGTGCAGGCAGCAAAGACTGGCTGAATGGAAGGCAACTAAATTGAAGAATAAATTTGGAGAAGTTTTAGAGATCTCAGGAAAGGATTATGTTCAAGAGGTTACCAAAGCCGGTGAGGGCTTGTGGGTGGTCTTGCACCTTTACAAACAAGGGTAAGCTGATCTTCCATGCTGTCTGTAAAATGTTAATTTGGATTTATGTCTTCAACATCTCAGGCTTGACCCATATCAGAGGGGTTTCTTGTTTTGTTTTGCTTCTGCTTTTTCTGGTACTGAGTTTTATGTATTTTCGTTACTGATTTGCCCTAACCTTAATGCCTAAGTTTCATCTTAAAACTTTGAAATTAATATTTGTGACTAATACAAATGCCTTTGTGAAAGTATAGCAGTTAAGGCTTTGCTTTTCTTTTTTTGAGAATGAATTTCTAAGTTACTTATCTCTCTAGAGAAACTCTGGCATTTCAAAGTTCCCTGTGATTGGTTTCTCTTATAAATGGTGAGGTTAGCCTTCACAGTAACTGGTGGCACCAGGGGAGGCCAAGGTCCTCAGGCATTTCTCTCCTTCCCAGGCTAGTTCTTAAACTGTAGATCCTATGTGTGTCTGGGAATTTCTTTAAAGCAGGAAATGCTTTCTGACGTATTTCACACACTCTAAATCTTCACTGTTCTCTCATCCAGCCTTGTAAGAAAGGCAGGACAATTATACTTTACATGGAGGCTGTTTTCCTGACTTTTCATTGTGACAAGGTAAATTGGACTTTGGATTATGAGTTCTTCACTTTACCTGAGCATATAAGAACGTTTTTTAAAAATGTTCATCTTAACTAGCAGCAGAATCACTTGCAAAACTGTTATGAGGCTTTACCTAGAATAGAAAGGTAGTTGAGCTCTGCTCTATATAAATGCAGAATCAACAATTGGCTTCTGTTTTCTGTTTCTGTTTTATAGGATTCCCCTCTGTGCTCTGATAAATCAACACCTCAGTGGACTTGCCAGGAAATTTCCCGATGTCAAATTTATCAAAGCCATTTCCACAACCTGTATACCCAACTATCCTGATAGGAATCTGCCCACGATCTTTGTTTACTTAGAAGGTGATATCAAGGCTCAGTTTATCGGTCCTCTGGTGTTTGGCGGCATGAATCTGACAAGAGATGGTGAGGACTCTTGGAGACTGGCAGGGCCGTAAGAGGTGGGAGAGGTGTTTCTGTTGGAGAGGGTGCCTGTTTCCTCAACTTGTGTTATGGATGGGTCAAGTTCACCTTTGCCTGTGGGGGTGACTGTTAAGAGGGAAGACATGCGTTTAATCTCTATCTTAGGTGAGTAATCAGGAGCAGTTACAGCTGGGCTCCAGTGATGCCTCAGTTCAAGGAAGGCACAAGGAACTTAAGTGTATATATAATATAGATCTGTGTATTTACTGACATTGACTATATCTTACTTGTCTCTATATTTGAGTGTGCTAAGTTGTAGTTTGAGATCCCAGCATTTATTTTTGTTATAATTCACAAGAATATAATAGTGGCAGATGCTTATATATACATGTATTTCTCTATAGGAATATTCTCAGTTGAGTATTTTCGTAGCTTTTAATTTTAAATTTAAGTTTTATTTATTTCTGCATCTTAACTTGGAAGGACCTGTTACACATGGAGGTGTCAGACTACATATTCACATAGCATGTGAAAGAGAACCTGAGCCCAGGGGCTTTCCCACCAAGGAAAATTCTTCATCTCTTTACTGAAATAATATATCCAACTGTGTTTTACTAGTCTTCAAAAGCATTTTTAAACATGACTTCTTTTTATACTGTACCACTAAGATGTTCAGCTGGGAAAAGCATGAACATACACATTCATATGAGATACATCAGTTACTCATACATATTGTATTGTTGAAGCAAGAATCAGAAACTTTTTTTTAAAGAAATGTGTTGAATTTGCATAACATTCAACCAAAGTTCCAAGAGGTGAAAATACTGGTGTTACTCATTTTCATGGAGTGCTTCTCCCCCCTCAACATTATGAGATATGATTGACAGAAAAGATGTGTATATTTGAGGTGTACAACATGATGATATGATACACCTATGCAGTGTAAAATGATTACCACAATCAAGCTCATATCATAGTTACCTTTTGTGTGTGTGTGCGCCGAGAGTACTTAAGATCATAAGACTTCAGCAAAATGGTTGTCAGATCTTAATAATCAGATTTTAATAGAAGTACCCAATTAGCAGAACATCTCTGCCTTGATCTGCCTTTAAGCCAGGCCATTTGTTTTAGACTCTCTTGGACAGTGCCTTTCTCTACAGCAGGAAAATACATCGCTTGATTTTGCTTCATGAGGTCTCACCCTGTGTGGGGTTTCATTGATTTTAAAAAGAATAAAGTGCAGGAGCTGAGTCTTTGGTCACTGATTCTTTACTTTCTGGCACTTTATTTTTTTTACTTTGGAACAAATGTGTCATTCTAAAATGTCATCATACATTTATTCTTTGAGTTATTGTACATAAGGCTAAAGAATTTCCTTTTATTAACTAAAATTAGATTTAATGATTAGATTGCCAGCAGGCCTGTGAAAATTATTTCCTTTAAACATTTCATGCTGATTTCTTTCTGGGAGATTGTCCAAGCTGGGAAGCTATAGTTATCAGAGGACAGGTTTGTCCTTTGTATTTTATTTTAATTTTCATATAGGTTCAAGTTTATGTAATACTTCATTTGACCTCATCTTTTGGAAAAGTATTTGGAAGTGTTTGTACTTTCCTTCTTAAATGTGTAATTTTTTTGTCTTCTAGTCAGCTTAAAATTATGCCAAGATTTCAATAATTGCATTTTCTGTTTAGAAAAAATTAACTAGAAAGATTCCAGTTGAAGGGATGCATGCAGCACAGTGTCTTCGGTGATTTGCTTTTTCTTTATCATGTAGAGTTGGAATGGAAGCTGTCTGAGTCTGGAGCAATTAAGACAGACCTGGAAGAAAACCCCAGGAAACCGATTGAAGACACGTTGCTGTCATCAGTGCGAGGCTCTGTCCCCATGAGGAGGAGGGACAGTGATTCAGAGGGTGACTAAGGCTGAAGCTGCCATAACTTACTGGACTTTCTTGATATGATGGATTGTCTGGATTTTTTTTAAAAAGGAAAAAGAAAGGAATGAAGCCTTTTGGTTTTTAGCCTTTTATAATTATGTTTCGAATCATATACATTTTAGAAATAATAATTGCTGGGAATTCTTTTAAATTTCTTGGAAGTCTCTTTTTAAATTATAGCATTTCCTTTTAAAAAAATTATAACCAGCTATTGCTATGACAAATGTCTTATGTTTTCGTCATTTATATTTACAGTAAACCCTAAACCCTTGTCACTATTTTTTGACATATAAGTATATTAAAAAGAATTTGAAGTTTTAAATAATGTAAATAAATTATACAGTGAAAAACTGCAAACTAAGTTTTATAGTTGCATTCTCTCTTTTTGTTTTAAAGATAGCAATAGGATTATCAATTAGAATATAGAAATGATCTCTCGGGAAAAAAATCTTAGAAGAAATAGTAACTTTTGTGAAACAAACATCAAAGCAAAAACTGAAAGATTCCAGTTTATTGCCATATTTCCTTATTAAATGTTTTTCCCACTTAAAATAATGTTTATCTCAAACTGTTGAGATATTAGCTAATTTTGATTGAAAGGCCACATTAAACTCCTTTTTGGAAATAAAGATATAAGCATACACATAAGTAGATAAACTATCTCGATCAATAAAAGACATCAAGATGTTTTGTGAACCAGAATCCTTTTAGAATTTATTATTTCTTGTCAAATTGACATTGATACAGAAAAAAATCATAGGAATATTTCCTAATATTTGTGTTGAATGATGTAGTAATTAATGCTGGTTTGAATCTTAAAAATATGAATCAGAGAGCACAGAGTTTTTTCAGGTTATATTTTAGAAAACATTTTTGCTCTAATTCAAAGAATGGTAAGCAGCTCTGACCCACTTTGTCTGTCAGAGGAGTCTGGTGATATTTCTTTTTCTATATGCATGGGAGCCAGTGCTGCTCTCTACAGTGCGGTTCACCTTCAAGGGTGTTTCATGCCATTTTACTTGCAGAGTTGAAACAAGCTTGGTTTGTTCTGTCACTCAGATGCTGGTTCCTTGAGCTTTGTAGAAGAGCTGCATTTAGATTTTCTTAGATTTTCTCTTGGTAACTGACACTATAATGAAATATCTGAAGAGCAAAGTTTGGTGCCGCATTTGCCTGAGAATCTTAACATGCACAATTACAAGGAAGGGAGGGAGGTGTGTGAACAGGGGCCACGTCCACAGTGATGGAGACCAGCAGGTTGAGTTCACTGTGGAGCCCATATAGGATCTAATTCTAAATATCCACTATGCTACTTTGATCTAAGTGTGAAAACTGTGCTTCATGATCTTACCTCTATGCCAGATGAAGGCATTTGGTTTGAGCACAACAGCAGCTGAGGTGCCCTTGGCTTTGGAGAATGAGCCCTGTCTGCCCTCACAGCTCCTGGGTCCCAGGCTGCTGTTTAGTTTAGTCATCTGACTGAACTCAATTTACAGAGAGAGAAGAATCTCTGTCCTAAAATTAGTGTTGTGATTTGGACCCTGACCTGCAAGTTTCTCTAGGTTAGTTAATTCTGGGGGACTTCCCCTATAATACTCACTGTTATCTTTCTATTCCTTTAGCGCATCAGTGATGTGGCAGAGATGGTGAAACCTGGTGCTCAACCATCAGGTTTCCCCCAGTTTCACAGGAACCAGGGAGCAGACAGGGACACTTGGAAACCGTTTTTTGGGCTCGGAGGAAAGGTGGTGGGAAGGGGTTAAGCAAGTGCCGGGCAGCCCTTCCTTAAGTGTTTCGTGAGAAATGGTTCCACAAAATGGTGAGGGTAAATGATTGGGAGTGGTGAAATGGATAAGATGATGTCATTAAATTCTTCCCTATTTTGTGGAGAAGAAGTAAGTGGATAGTTTGTCTACCCCTCCCTCATTGCAAGCCTGACGACATTTTCATGCCCGGAATGGCAGAGGCAGACTATTGCTTCTGTAGACACCTCCAGCAGAGCCACGGGCACCCTGGTGACTCAGAAGGACTTCAGAACGTCCCTGTGGCCTCAAAAGGCACTCCCGAGAGATACAAAGGGCAGTTTGGAAGGGGATGCTCTGTTACTGGTGCCTGTGGTTTTCTTTTTGGTCTTATTACCTTCAGCTTAAAATTCAGCTTTCTTAGATAATGAACCCAAACCTTGACCAAGTCCTTTTCAGGCATGACAGGCCTCATGTGTTAGGGTTGTGTTGCCTACTTTAGGAACATACTCCCAGGAAGGTGCTTTTGTCCTCGCAGAAACCAGCTGTTTCTCCTAGTTAGAACCTTTGGATAGGTAACTCTCAACATGCGTTCCTGATACTGTTAACACTCACACAGCAGGTGGACCAGGCTTTCCACACTGCTCCCTGCTCAGCAACTCAGTGCAATCTTGCTTGTGTGCTATGAGGAAGCCCCTCAGCTTCTGACCTTACCACCTCATACCTGCAGGAAACCTCGTCTTTTCTTTCTGCTCTGTCCAGACTCCAGTGAGGATCTCCAGGTCTGATCCCTCCCTCTCTGCTTTTGACCACATTCTCTCCCACATCCTTTGCCCCAGTAATATCCCATCTTGATTTCCATTTCCCCCTTGATGTGGGACCCTCTAGCAATAGAAGTTTCAGGGTCCTCTGGCAGAGACTGCTAGTTGCTCATGAAATCCAGGATTCTCCATTCGATTCTAGTAGCAATGGGACCAGTTCAGAGTCAACTCCCAGCCTCTCTCGAGCCATGGATGGTTGGCTGGGAGTTTAGATCTGGGCAAGCTGCTTAAGAGGGAAAGACAGTTAGCGTGTGTCCTTAGGCTTAACCCCTTTTTGCTTTCTGATGGAGGTGTTGATGTGATTGCAGCCTGCTTGGGCCACAAAGTATCAACAGAGGCAAAGCAGTGAAGAGAACACTCTGGAAGAGATTGTGGAGCTACCATAGCCCAGCCCATGACTGCTGTCTCTGCACTTCTGCTTTTGGGAAAGAAATCACTTCTATTTGGTCTCTTAGCAGCAGCTGATGCATTTCCTGATAAAGCCACCTGTCAAAGGAAACTCAACCAACCACTAGCTTTCTACTCCCTAATGTCAAATGACCTGACAAAACAGAAGAGTCGTCTACATTCCCTGCCTCCAGTTGTCATCGTTGAACCATAGTCATCATGAACCAGATTTTAGACTTTCATTTCCAATGTGTGAAAGACCCTGAACAACCCACCTGATGAAACTCTTAACCATTGGATAAAACATCTTTTAAAAAATGTTCTTGGGGGATGGAAAAACGCCTCTTATCAACAGGGTGCCTGAGTGAAACGTAATTGTACACCTAACCTTTAACTGCACTCCACAAAACCATAATAAAAAATACTGATTAATAAAAAAAAAAAAAAAAGAAAAGAAAGAAAAAAAAAAAGTTCTTAAATGTCTCACTAACTGGTAAGAAAGGAAAGTATTCTGAGAGACCAAAAACAAAATGGAGAACTCTAGAAAGATCAAGGGGCACTTCACTTCTGTCTTCTTAGGAGCACATACCAAGTCCCAGTGATGCTGAGCTTCTGTTGACACGGACTTGTAGGGTACAGGTGACAGGAGACAAGCCTGGGGAGCACCCAAGTTGGGGAGTCTTAATAGGAGACCCCCCTGCAAACAGCAGGAATCCCACAGGGTGGCCTTCAGCATGAAGGGAATTGGCACTGAGATGTCAGCTACAAGCCTTTCCTCATGTAGGTTTGGATTTCAAAGTCTCATGCTACATGATGTCTAAAAACCTCTCAAGCCAAGTTGTTAAGGTAGTGCCCCTGAGCTCCTGGCCAAAGCAACTGCCTGTGCATGCTAAAACATGCCTTTAATTTAGCTCTCAATCACTCTCCACAAATAAACCTCCAAGGAGCACGAGCTCGTGTTCAAAAACCGCAAAACCACAAATCATAGATGCTTCAAATAAGGCATCCTAAATGCAAGCCAGCAGAAAAAGCATGATCAGATCCGTAAAGACAGGATAGCAGAATTTTCAGAAATATAAGATGAATATATCTTATATGTTAAATAAAAGAGAAGTTCTTTATATAAAAATAAAAGTTCTTTACATAAAAATCCTTTACAAAAATAACCAGTGGAAGAGAATTAATGAGCTGGAAAGTAGAGCCAGATAATTACCCTGTAGGTATCACAGATACAAATGGGTGGGAATAAAAATGCGGAGGATAAACTGGGGTGGTCTCACATGCCTCTTAGAATTTTAGGAGAGACTTAGAAATAGACAATACTTGAAAAGATAAAGACATTTTCCAGAATCGATGAAAGACACCAATTCTCAGAATCACAAAGATAGACAAATCCCAAGTGAATTAAATAAAATATATTCACACCTCCACGTACATCATGAAGCTGCAGAACATTAGAAACTCATAAAGACATCTGGTGACAAAAGACACACGACCTACAGCACAATAATGATTCGGCTTACTGACTTCTCAACACCAGCAAGGAAAGCCAGAAGAGCAGAATAGTGTCATCAATGGCTTAAGGAAGAAACAACTAACCAAGAGTGATTTATAATTAGTGGGTGAATGAGGATGAAATAGACATTTCAGACAGGATAATTTTGTCACCAATGGATTCTCACTAAAGGAAGTTTAAGGGACTTACTTTGTGCAGAGGGGTGAAGAAAGGTCTGAGGTTCAAGAAAGCATGGTGCCCAAAAAAGGAGGAGGGGGTGAATCTGGATGAACATTGACTTTGCCCAACAATACAAATAAAGTCTTACTTGTGACACTGAGAGCAAGTTACACCTAAAAACAGGTCCAATTGCATTCAAGTTAAGCGAACTTAATTGGAGTTCAAGAATTCTTGGACCCTTAAATAGTATTCAAGAGGTTGGCAAAGATATGCATGTTAAACATGTGTCATTCGAGGTAACCATAAAAGAAAAAAAATAAGAGTGTATAAATTTTAAATTAATGGAGGTTGGGGAACCTCTTTAATTCAAAAGACCATAAGGAAGAATCAAAGAAACAGAAAAGCAGGACTTAGTCCAAAATAAGATGTTAGAAGTAAATCTAAAACAGAAACCACAATGAATAATACTCTTTTTTTGTTATTGTTGCCCAGGCTGGAGTGCAATGTGATCATAATTTACTGCAGCTTCAAGCTCCTGGGCTCTAGCAATCCTCCCATCTCAACCTCCCGGGTAGTTGAGCTACAGGTGTATTCGACCATATCCAGCTAATTTTTTTTATTTTTTGTGAAGACATGGTCTGCTATGCTGCTCAGGCTGGTCTTGAACTCCTGGCCTCAAGTGGCCCTCCTGCCTCAGTCTCCTAAGCACTGGGTTTACAGGTGTGAGCCACCATAC